ATTTTTCCACCTCTGTTTCTTCTTCCCTACAGTTACAAAGAGAAAGAACCTCAGCCACTAGTCAGGCTAGTATCTAGCCTGGCTAGTCAGGTTCCTAGTTAGCATTTTTTATTTATCAAATATGTAAATATGCGGTTAGGTTTCTTGTTCTTTTAAGATAACTATTTTCTTCTAAATTTAAATATATTGCTCCAGTGTGTGTCAGTACTAGCACTATTCAATAAAAATTGGAAAACGGCTAGCACTCACCTGGAATCAGACTCTCAATTCACACTTCAAACTGTAAAATTCAAACAGTCAGGCACACACACACACTCACACCACAGCTAGTACTCTCACCGGGTAGCCTCTTCGGTGGTGGGGTCGCTTTGCTCTCCCTCTTCAACTCCCCTGTCTGCAGTCCCCTGTCTGCTTCGCTATTCGATATTATGACTATCCCTACAAAATCAGGACTTCTGGGCACTCTATACTACTACCTTAACTCTGAGATAAATACATATTATTTTTTTAAGAACTAAGGGTATGTCTACACTACAAAGTTAATTTGAACTAACAGCCGTTAGTTTGAATTAACTTTGATAGGCGCTACACATACAAACTGCTAGTTTGAACTTAATTCGAACTAGCGGAGCGCTTAATTCGAACTAGGTAAACCTCATTCGACGAGGACTAACGCCTAGTTCGAATTAAGTAGTTTGAAATAAGGGCTGTGTAGCCACTTAATTCGAACTAGTGGGAGTCTAGCCCTTCCCAGTTTGTCCTGGTGGCCACTCTGGGCCAAACCAGTGAAACTCTTCTGCCCCCCTCCCGGCTCCGGAGCCCTTAAAGGGGCACGGTCTGGCTACGATGCTTGTGCCAGGTGCATGCCTGCAAGCACCTAGCCAGCAGACCCCGCACCTAGCACGGCTCGAGCCAGCCACCCACTGCCACCCAGCCCTCCGCCTCTTCCCGGGACCAGGCTGGCAGCTCCCAGGAGCCTGCCCGGGGCTACAAGAGGCAGGCGCCCGCCTGGTCTAGTGCGGAGATCGTGGACCTCATTGAGGTTTGGGGGGAGGCCTCCAACGTCCACGACCTCTGCACTAGACACAGGAAAATGGCAGTCGTGAACCCAAGAGCAAGTTTGCATGAAAATCAAGGTGGTCCAGTGAGACCCCCGAGCTCTGAGCTTAGAACATAAGAACATAAGAACGGCCGTACTGGGTCAGACCAAAGGTCCATCTA